TAAACTATTCTCAGTCAATATAAATCATATGATTAAATTTTATATCGATCGGACTGATGTTATAAAATTGGGATGTTGTTGAACTTACATATATCATTCATTAGAAGTTTTTAAACCCTATTGTGATTAACTTAGGACATTAGGATGTTTGATCAATAATAAGAACCCAAATTACCTCTGACGCTTCAGGTCACCTGACACACATTGTTTGCCTAGTATGACTTGCTTGTCGGGCTTGGTTTGCAGGGTATTAGGTTCAGTCGGGATTTACCCAGTGCGCACTTTTGGATAGCGGCTGCGAGTTCTCACGTCATAAAAAAATAATAAGAACCCAAATTAGTTGCATTTAGGTATATTTTATGTTTAAAATTATTTGTAAGAATAATAAATGAAAATAGATATTTAAAAATTGTATATTATATTTTAACTGAATAATAAAGTTGTCCATGATTTTTTACATAACAAAGTTTTGATAAATCATACAAAAGTTAAGTTGGAAACATAAATAGACAAAGGAGAAAGTCAATATATTTTCAGATTTAGATCCTATAAGGATGTGTTTGTTTGGAGATTTGGATTTTAAGTTATAATTTAAATAATACAAATTTTGAATTAGAGTAATGGTATGATGTGATATAAATAGTTATTGATGTGATATATTGAATATAAAATTCATTTTTAATATAATAAAATAAGAAATAGATACTTAATTTGATTTTTTTAAAAAAATAAAAAATGCTGAATAATAAAAATATTGGAAAGTTTGCCAAACGAACACATAGATGACTTGGATAGTAAAAACTTGATCGATACAAACGCTTACCTTATTTATTTATTTAAGTACCCTAAATTTGACAATAACTTATGGTAATATATAGTGGCGGACCTATTAAGGGGCAGGGTGGGCTCCCCAACTCCACTTTTACCCTATTTTATTAAATTTTTTTATTTTTAAAAAAATAATATATATATAATCTATAGAAAATATTTAAAATAAATAATAAAATAATAAAAACATTAACTTGTTGATTTTTTTTTTAATAAGAAAGTGCATTAGTTTTTTTTTTTCTTCCAAAATATAATATATCAATATTTATTAATAAAAAAAGATTGTTTTTTTTTATTTGGACTATATTTGATGTAATAATTAATATTTAATATTAATATGCAAAAAGTAAATATAAAATTATTAAGTGGATGGTAGTAGTATTATCTTACAAATAAAAAATTTATTTTATAAATTTAAAAATTTTGTCCCCGCTGTTAATATTCTAGTTCAGTCACTGGTAATATATATATAAATAAATATATATATAGATCAATATCTTACAAAGGGAATTATTTATTATTATTTTATTATTATTATTATTATTATTATTTTTTAAACTTTGCTACTTACATACATGGATTTGACTTATTATTTAAGTAGATCGAAATATATGTGTACGGCACTGATTTCAATATAAATTATTAAATATTTAATTGAAATTATAGGTGTGTTTATTTGTGGATTTGAGTTTTTAATAATAAAATTTTAAATTAAAATAATTATTTATTGTGCAATAAATATATATTGACGTGATATTTTTAATATAAAATTATACTCCCTTCGATGATACAATAGTTGACGCATGAATCAACTTAATTAAATTTTTATATAGGACCACTCAAAACTCTTTTATTTCTATATCTCTTCAATAAACAAAATACTTTTATATATATTTTTATAACATTAGTTTATGTTGATCATAAATAATTAAAAATATTTTTATTTAGTTGTATTATATAATTTTCTTTTTTACAAAATGATATCAATATTATATATATTTTATTAAGAAAATAATATTTATAATATTTAAATCACTATAAAAAAAATAATATATTTATAACGGAATTTCGTCCATAAAGTTCACGTAGCTATCGTAATTTCATTCATAATTCCGTCTCTAATGTCATTAGTAACGGAAAAAGTAAAATTAGAGACAAAAATATTTTATTACAAAAATAATTTTTTATTGTAGTTAATACACCTTCTAAACTTTTTTTATTCGTATACTCCCTCCGTCGCAGCAACAAAGTTGATATTTAGTTTTTACATATTAATATTTGAATATTAATTATATAAAAATATAATATAAATTAAAAAATAATAAAAATATTTTATTAATATCTTATAATATAAATATAATCACATTTGTATAATAAATTATACAAATATAAATATATTTTTAATATTAAATACAATAATACAAAATATAAATATAAACTTGTTAAATAAAAAAATTTAGTATTAATTTTTATTTTAAAAATATTAACACAATCACTCACGTAAAAATAATAAAATAATATAATATCCTACTATTATATTTCTTTAAATAGATGTCAGTAATCAAAGTATTTATGGGACATAGTTAATATTTTAGTATAATATAATATATATATATATATAAATATTTAATTTCATATTTTTTGAAAAAAATAATTAAAATAGTAAAATAAGTACCAAAATTTTAAAAGTAAAAATACCCATAATTTTCAATATATATGCATAATTTCATCAAAATTTTAATTTATGTATAAATACATGAACTCTTCACATGATTTATACAAAAATGAATTTATTGAATAAATTTAAAATTATAATATTGATATATGATTAGTCAATAATATATTTTATTAAAATATTATCCATGTATGTTTTATTTTATATTATTAAATATGCATGTAAAAATACAAGATATTTTATTTTCATAATATCACTGTACAGTTATTAAATTAGTTTATAGTTATCTTATGATACCTACATGATATGCTTGTTGAAAGTATAAACCTTCCCCATACATTTTTATATAATTTATATTAAAATAGTAAGCTACTTTTTTATGACGTGGGAACTCGCAGCTGTTACCGAAAGTGCGTACTGGATAAACTCCGACGGAAAAGTCATACTAGGCGAATCATGTGTGGCAGGTAATCTGAGGCATCGGGGGCTTGAACCCATAACCACACGGTCACAAGTCCAACGCCTACACCATCTAGTCATCCGTTATGGGACTATTTTTTAATAAGTTGCATAGTGGTCAATGGCAGACACCACTCCGATAGAGAAAAAGAAATAATTAAGAATTTTTATATATTTTTAATTATTTTAAAATAATTTATCAATAATGGAGTATAGGTTATAGATAATTTTAGACGAGTTTAAATAATTTTAATTATTTTAAAATAATTTATCTATAATGCAGTATAGGTTATAGATAATTTGGGACTAAGTTTAAATGTTTTTAATTATTTTCTAATAATTTATCTATAATGGAGTATAGGTTATAGATAATTTTGGACGAGTTTAAATATGTTTTCTAAATATTAAATTTTGAAAGTAATTATAAAAAAAAATTAATATATTATTTTCTCGAGAATTTAGATAAATAGTATTAAATAGGGTAATTTAAGAATTAGGTAACAAGAGAAAAAATATATATATTTATTTTTGTTTACTATTGTGATAGGATAAAATGCGTGCTTAGAGATTAAATACTCCCTCGGTCTCATAATTAAGTATTCATTTAATTTTTGCATGTTGATCTTTGGATATTAATTATTATATCAAAACGTAATACAAATCAATGAAAAATTGTAAAAATATTTCTATTAGTGTCTTATAATACTAATATAATGATATTTGTATAAAAAATTATACAAATATAAAGATATTTTTAACGTTAAGTACAATAACGCAGAAGGTAAATGAATACCTTATTATGAGACGGAAGGAGTATATTTAATTATTTTTTATTTAAAAATATTGTAGAGTGTTTGGAGATGACACAAAATATTACATAGTGTTTAGGCTGAGTAAGGGGCCTTTTCAATAAAGCTCGCATAGGAGCCTTTTTCAGCCGAATATTTTTTCAGTTGGTAAAGACCCGCCCCTTGTTTCAGTCAGAATGAGTCCCCGGGACCCCGGGACATTGGCTTCCGCCAACGGTGAACTATTAAGGATCGCATCCCGCGCATATTCTTTATTTTTATAAAAGCGTAAGTAGCAAACCATTTGGAGTATTTCATATTTTAATGTAAATGTTAAATCTACATGTTACAAATGATATTATCCTATATACAAAAAAAAAAAAAAAAAAAAAAAAAAAAAAAATTGAATAATATGGTAAATGAATTAACAATATATATAATACATGTTTTAAAAACACTTTATAATATATATAACACCATGTGCTATTTGTCTTTATTTGTATCTTAATTGCCGTCATATATATTAACTCAATTTTTTATCGCAAAATTTAAATTTAAAAACTGAAAGTAAAAGAAAATAATCTATCTTAAATAAAACCCTTATTTCCGATGTCTTGCCTCTGCTGATAGTTGGGTAAAAAAAACGAGTAAGGGTGTGTTTGTTTGAAAGATTTGGAAGAATTTACACTATTCATATAAATTTTTCCTCGCAAAAACATCAAATCAAATGCTTATTTTTTAATTTTTACACTCCCTCCGTCCACCTCCAAGGATCACATTTATCTTTTGCACTTAATATTAAAAATATTCTTATATTTATATAATTTTTTGTACAAATTTCCTTTTATTAGTATTATAAGTTACTAATGGAAGTATTTATGCAATTTTTTTTAAATTTTTATTATATTTGGACATAATAATTAATATTCAAATATCAATACACAAAAAAGTAAATGGGATCCTTAGAGGAGGACGAAGATAGTATTATAATTAATTTACATTCAAAACATTACATCAATACTTATTTATATCACATCATACCACTACTTCAATTCAAATTTGTTACTATTCAAAGCAAAATCCAAACCCGCGCACAAACACACCCTAAAAGTAAGATTCAAAAGAGGACAATCGTTGTCGTTAGTAAAATTTAAATTGAATCAAATGAAAACATTTTTCCCAGACACAAAGTCTCGTACGTATCTATAAATAGACATACATTTCTTTCTGTACACATTCACACAAGAAAACCCTATGTATGGCAAAAACCCTAATCTTAACAACATTTCTCCTATTCACTTGTATAATTTCATGCTCAGCTCGCTTCGAAAATGTCGAGTGTCTAGACATATTACAAGACGTTTTCCCCGCCGTTCGAGTCTATAAGAACGGATCCATCGTCCGATTCTTCCCTGAGGACTTTGTCGAGCCGGCGCCGAACGGCGATCCACAGAGGGGAGTTCGATACAAAGACGTGATCATCGATGAAGACCGTAACGTCTCCGCCCGGATCTTCTTGCCGACGGTGATCCGTCAGCCAGGGAGGTTGCTCCCCGTCCTCATCTACTACCACGGCGGCGGGTTCACAACCGGCAGTCCCTCCTCGTCGACATACACAAACTACGTCAGTTCCGTCGTAGCCAGAGCCAATGTCGTCGCCGTGTCAGTGGGTTACCGGTTGGCCCCCGAATTCAGGCAACCGATTGCGTACAACGACGCATGGGTCGCGTTAAAGTGGGTGTTTGCCCACGCCCAGTCGCACGGTGGGCGAGGGCCCGAGCCGTGGTTGCGAGACTATGGGGATTTCAATAGGGCTTATGTAGGCGGGGATAGCGCCGGAGGCAATATCGCGCACAATACGGTTTTGCGCGCCGGAATAGAGAGGGCAAGCCGGATTTTTGTACAAGGTCTATTTTTGAATTCCCCGAATTTTTGGGGAAGTACTCGGATTGGCGGAGAGGAGAAGAGGTACGACGAGGTTGTGTTTAGGAACAACTTATGGTTGCTTGTGTACCCAAATGTCCCGGCCACATTCGACTTCCCGGCAATAAATCCAAGCCTCGATCCGAATATACATAGGCTACGTGCGACGAAGTTGCTTCTGTATGTCGGGGGGGAAGATATCCTTCGCGACCGCGGAATTCTTTACGTGGACACGTTAAGGAAGAGTAGGTGGGGTGGATCGATTCAATTTTACGAGGTCCCGGGCGAGGGACATGTGTTTGATATACTAAACCCGGACAAGGATAAGGCTCGGAGGATGTTGGATGTCGTCGTTTCATTTATTAGCTCCGGCAATGCCATTTAGGCGGCGTCCGTAAAATTAACAAGCTCGAGCTCGTCCGTCTGTAATGCCACGTCTGTAAAATTAACAAGCTCGAGCTCGTCCGTCTGTAATGCCATTTAGGCCGCGTCTATAGAATTAACAAGCTCGAGCTCGTACGTGAGCGTATAATATATTTGTGGATGTGTAATAGTGATGGATGATTGTGTTTTCGTTGATGTTTGTTTTGTGTGTTGTTGTGAAGTTATAAGGAATAAAATGTGTGTTTTAGATGAATTTATTTGATTATATTATTATTATTATTATTTTGAATGAAATGACATTATGGTAATGCTATCTACTTCTAAACTCTCAACACTGCATAAAATAATATTCTCGAAATGACATTATGGTAATGCTATCTACTTCTAAACTCTCAACACTGCATAAAATAATATTCTCTCCCTAAACACTCTGCAACATTTGTTTTTTTTAGTATATCCCAAATACCTTCCAACATTTTCAAAATAGAAAATAATTAATTATAATATCTACATGCAATTCTCTTACTATGTATAGCAAATATATATATATATAATTTGAATTAGGTTTTTTAGGTTAGAATTTTGTGTTTTTAAATTATATTTAATATGATTCTTATGATAAAGTATATATATATATATACATATATATACATTAGAAAATATGGAGTCCAAAAAAAATAAGATAAAATAAAAAGAAACATGAGTTGTTAAAAATAATAAAAGTTGATTATTTATATGAAGTTTGTGAAGAAAATAAATATCGTCCCCAAAATAAATGACACATTTTTTATTTAACATGTTCGGTTTTATAAATTAACATAATTAATTTAATAACATATGACATCGATCATATATATAATATAATTCACTTGAAACTCTCTTGTTTCTGTATTTCTTTTGACTGGATAAATATTTTTATTTAACAAGAGGAAAGGAGTATTTAATATGATTTTATTTATAAAAAAATGTTTTTATTGATAAATAATTCTAAATTAAAATATATATATATATATGTATATGTATATAAATAAAGGCACAAGTTTTCCGCATTTGACGATCAGTTTGATTATGAGATATGATTTTCGTTGTTTTTAGGTAAAATTATGATTAAATATGACTATTTTATTGAAAATACGTATACTTTATTAGAAACAACGAAGTCTCGTAATAAAATAAATAAGTAAATGAAAAACATACCCAAAATAAATGTATATTATTTCTATTTATTACTTTTATTAGTTTATTTATTTATCTTTTGCGGTATGTATTGCTTTAATGTTGATGAGTTGTATTATTGAGTGGAAAATAATAGGTTTGTTCATCAATATTTATTTTGGTATAATTCCTTATAAATATTAAAAAAATACAATATATATTTATATTAACATAATATATATAATACATATATTTTATTTATTTATAAAACGAAATCAACAATTTAATGCAAAATGTTATTTCCTTTTTATATTACTGTTTATAAGATTCTCTATATTTAATATAAAAATTAATGTCATTCAAAAATACTAAGTGGACAAACCTAGGTATATATATTTTATGTAGACGATTTTCTATCCGGTGCTCATTATATATTCATAGAGTATACTTAGGATTGAATTTTGAATACTAACATTTTTTATTTTCTAACATTTTTTATTTTAATAATGATGTGATATAAATAGTTATTATTATTATTATGTTTTGAATTGAATATAAATTTTATTTTTATTATAATATAAAAAAAGGTAAACTGCTTTTTTAGTTTAGTATCCGACTCATTTATTATTTTAGAGCTTTAAGTGGCATTTATGTGGCGATGACATGTCATTCGCGTCAGCAACAACGGGCCAGCGTGACGAATCCAGCACCGGATAACCATTTTACCAGAAAAATGTTAATTACGAGACAATTTTCAGGCATAGTGCACTTAAAGCCCTAAAATTAAAAAAAAAAAATGGTTAGATACGAGATTAAAAAACACTTTACACAAAATAAAAACATAGAAATTTGGTTTAATAGTAATTTAGGAAAAATCAATAGTAAAAAATCTTTGTTCATAACCCCATCCAAACCACGCCTACTAGCTAGTGAAATTACATGAAATGATCCGATTTAAAATTAACTAAATTAAATCAACACGTTGTTGATTTAACTTTATTAGCACAAATATATTAAGCAAACAACACAAAAATAATGACACATAATTATACAACAAACAATACAATATGTTATTGATTTTTAATACAATAAACATATATATATATACATTACAACACAATGCACGACACATCTTTCTATATAGCACAACACTCTGTTATTTGTCTTATAGTTGATGCCAACAGCAGCAATTAGTATATATGTCGACTTGATCAAATCAGTACGATATTTATTCGATCAAGTTAGTACCCTAAGTGTTGTCTACATTATATCATGCATTAAAAATACTCAATAAAGCAACATCTTACCATTTAAAATTTTGTAGCTAGATGAATTAATTAAAGCGAATCCACAACAAGATTACGATTTAATTTTGTTGTATTATTGAATTAATTATTTTAATCAGAACTTGGTAGCCTCGGTGCTTCCAATAAAAATACTCTCACAATTTCCCCGTAGCAAGTGGTGTCGAGGTCGATCCACAGGGACTACAAAGTTTAATTTATGTTTTGTCACAATTTCAAATATTGGGGGATAGATTAGCAATTCACTAAGATAATTAAGATAAACGATAAAATCTAGATTTCAAAACGATTAAACTTCTAGCCCAATGAGTGAACAAGAAACCGGATTAAAGATTCGATCATTGATTTTAAATAATCTCGTTATTCAATTGATAATTGGTTATAGGCATTAGATACAAACATTACGCCCAATTTTTTCTTACTTTATTGGCAGCAATGGTACGACCGATTTACCGCATCCCTAATCAAAGAAATAATCTAGGTACGACCATAAATTAATTTCCTCAATTGAAAATAGCCCGAGAAAAACTCAATTCAAATATTCAATCAATTGCGAAAAGATTAAATTATTTGATTATGCAATTCCTAGGTTAAGTTTGTCAACCTATTTACCATTTTATCAAACAAGTGCACAATTACAGATGCAAATATTCAATTGGCACACAATTGTTATGAATCACAGACATTGCATAAATATCAATTTCATAAACAAGATGCAATTTAATTCAAAACATAATCTCACAAATTTAAATCTGAAATCTAAATTTAACATTGGACTAGAATAAAGAAAACTAGCTACTCATGCTCAAAATAAAAGAAAACAATAAGATAAAGATAACGATGATCTCCCGATACGCTTCCTCTCAAATTCCTCGCCCAATCCTTCAAACTATGAAATGTGAGTGTAAATTGTGATATCACATCTCATGCCTTGCCCCCTTTTTATAGATGATTGGTTCTTCGACACGCCTTTAATCACTCAATCGCAATCTCAATAACATAACAAAATGAGTGGAAAACTATCCATAACATTAATTATATTTTATAATTTATCTATATTTATGCATTATCAGAACTATAGTCACATCACACATTATTGACAGAAAACATGAAATATAAATAAATATATAGATATATAAATATAATATAAAAACAACTTAACTAACATTATATAAAAATAGTCCACAATGCACATGCTACCATTGAATTCTACACAAAATATATGTCCATGCATCACATTCTTTATCTCAATAAAACCAATATATTTTTTCAAAAAATTAATATACTTACATACATTCATTATTTTTATATTATCTACACAACTTTTTATATCTTATACATATATATAAAAAAAAAAAATACACATTCAAATCATTTCAGAAAACAAACACACAATCATATATATTTTTTTAATTTATGAACATTCACACACTTTACAACTTTCAACAAATAATCGACATGTTATATTGGGTGCATTAATATAGTAGTAGTGGTCCTTGAAAGGTGTTGATACCAACGATTAATATAATTTAGACATAAAATAAAGAAAAAAATAAGCATATGACAATAAATGTGTCATTTTACAAAAATACAACATGTACTTGCATATTATTTCTTGGACTTATCCCAAAATTTTGGATATTTTACAAAATTTCATGATATGAATCAAGGGATATGGAATAAAGGAAAGGACTTTTTTTTTTTTTTATTTTATCTTTTTACATGCACCTGCACCCATTCAAGATTGAAACTGAAACCTTTGCTCATAAATAAAAATGTCTCACAACTTGATTTACAAGGATTTGACGGAATAAAATAAAAGTTGAAACCCCCAATAAAGAAGACTCTGGAGAAATTGGGTGTGTTTTGTTACCGGTTAAGTTTTAAGTTGAAAATTGTATTGGAAGTGATTTAGGTAATTAATATTTAATTTGTGATGTAATATATATGATTAAAAAAGTTTAAATATATGATTAATGTTCTAACAACTATATGTTTCAATAACAATGGAAATTAAAGTGTTGTTAAATGAAATATTAATCGAGGAAGCAATAAAAGAAAGGAATGCTTAAGAGAACAAGAAATATGATCAACACCCCTCAATTTCCATGATGTAGCTTCTTTTTTTTTTTTTTTCCTTAGTTTGTATTTTTTTGCATTAAGCATTTTATCTTATCACAAAAACTCTCCATTAAAAAGGCCACACAGATCCAACAGAAGATGTCTACTCAATAGAAATTTTCTGAACAAACAGGAGATCAAAAACAGAAAATTTAAGTGCCAAAGAAATAAGTATTATCTGATGATGTTATTTGATATGATTGCAATGATTTTGGATACATAATATCCAACCACAATGAAGAAAGATAACAAGACAATGAATGTTACATAGAGTGACGATGAAAGCAATGTTGAAGGATTAAACTCATAGGCTCAAAATGATAATTAAAATGTAGTCTTTTTTTACTCTACACAACGTCGAAAGTGTGGTTAATGATGACAATAATAACACTAATGGTTCTTGACAAATTAGGAGAGGCATATAGAGAAGTTTTTGATGAATTTACAATTCTCTTATAAGAAATGATTATCTTAAATTAAAGGTTATGTTGAAATGTTAGAAGGAAAGATTGAGTTGTTGACGAGGACAATACAAAAATGATAAAAATGGACTATGAACTGTGCACCGATTATGAAAAGGTATCTTATTAAGTTGCAAGTTCGAGAAAGAAAGTCCATGAACTTTAGTAAAAAAAAAATCAAAAATTATTGGAGGATAACAAGGTAAACATGC